GAGATCGGAAAGGTAAAGGTCCTGCCTTGGACTGAAGTATTATCGGAGGACCTCGAATTAGGTCGGCGGGAGTGAAATGCAGAACCAGATGCAGATCCCAGGGTTCGATCCCTAGATGTAGCGGACCTCTGGTTAGCCTGTGAGACCAGCCCCTTGGCCTGTTCTCACAGGCATGTGTTATATTCGGGGTAGTCCAGTCCAGGCCGGTACCTCTGTCGGTACCAGTCAGTCCGTTGGGGTATACCCCAGCCAGAGTCTGTATTTTGGATTATTCTACATTCGCACAATTTGGAGTACGTGCGTTGGAGTCTCGAGCGGGAACAGCGTTGTGCCATCTTGCTCCACCTTCATCCTCCATCTCCATCCATATCGCAGGTGGAGCACCACACCCGGTGGGTCCGCCATACTGGTATCAGAGCGGGAACGTTCCCCGCTCCCACCCACCACACCGCATAGCAGGAAACACAACAAAACCCGACATAGGGTTTTTTGGCTGTTTTTTTTTGTCGTTTCCAGCGAAAAACAGTGGAAAAACGTGATGAAAAGCGGAGTAGGGAAGAAGGGACACGTGGCGAGAAAAAGGGAGACAGGGCCACAACGTGTGCGCGCAAGCGCCATGGCCAAGGCCACCGCACACGCACACACACACGCACACTGCACTGCTACCCCGCCCCGCCCCACTCCCGGATTCTTTATTATCAAGATCCGGAATGCATGCTGTTGCCAGGGTTTGAACCTGGGCAGCTACGGGTCATAAGCGTGCGTAGCTGCTGCCATAACACACTGGGCACAGTGTGTGTATGGTTGTGTACTGCGATACGGTGAAATTGTCGTGCCACCTATTTACCCCCCCCCCCCCCCCCCCCCCCCCCCCCCCCGGCGGCGAGCGGCGAGCACCGGCCAGTAGGGCAGCAAGGGTCGGGCTGCTATTTGCCCCCCCCCCGTCCCTCCCACTCCCCGTGGCTGCTGCCGCCTGCGCATGTGGCCATCTGCAGTGCCACGTGGAGGCTTGCTATGGAACTGAAGACCCCCTTGATTAGGGGGCTGCTCTACATTGGTAAGGGTCTGCTTACACAACATACCCAAGATCTGTAGTACTATTGCTAGGGGCTGATCAAGATCTCAAACCCCTCTCTCCTCCAGTTGGCTTGCTGAGGCGAAGGCCAAGACCCTCCTGGTCCTGGTATACCTTGTGCCCTTGAAGACACTAAGGGCCAGGTATCACCTCCCTTTTCCCTCTCCCTCCTCACTCACTTCCCTCTAATCACTCTCACTACTCATACCCCATCTCCCCCTTCACTCTTTTTCTCCCTCACATTTATTTCTCTCTTTTCTCCTTCACTTTTTCATCCCCCGCCCCCCCCCAACTTCAAATTTTTTCTGTTTTTCTTCTTTTTATCTTTCTTTTGATTTATATTTCCTTCGTTTTCCAAAAATTTGAATTATCTTATTCCCCACCTTTTTTTCTCATTTTCTGATTTATTTCATTTTATTTTTATTTATTCTGAAAATTCGAATTTCTTTGCGGCACCCTTAAATCTGATTAGGAGTTAGTCATTCTTGCTTTCGGCACACATTTTGACCCCGTGGGGGTCACGAAGTGCTGCTGAAATTTTCTCATTTTACTTAGCCTTTCTTCTTGACGGCACACTTCGACCCCATGGGGGTAACGAAATGTTGCCGAAAGTTTTGAAAAATCCAACACTTAATTTCTCTTCACCTCCTCATCTACTTATTTATTTATTTATTATTTCTTTATTTAGTTTCTGAAATTTTTAATTTGCGGCATTTTGAAACTTAGTCTGCTTCTCTTGGTCTCTCCTTTCCCTTGACACATTCTTGACCCCATGGGGGGTTGGGAAATGCTGTCGAAAATTTCAAAAATATAAATATTATTTCTCTCTCCATTGTTTGTTTCCTTATTTCTTTAATTATTTTTATTATTTCTTTCTTTATTTATTTATTTATATTTTTCTCTCGACATTTCACTGTTTATTTATTTTTCCTTCCGCCTCTCCCCCCATGCTTGCTATTTTATTTTCTTGACTAGGTCACCACTCAAACTCCGGTTAGGGTTTTCTTAGGGTTTTTCTGGGGTTTAGGGTTCTCCTAACTCCCCCCTACTTCCCTTTTCCATTCCGGTACCCTAGACCCGAGCCACCCTTCCCCCTTTGCGGGCGCCCACGCTCGACTTACTAGCGTCGCCCGTCGCTTTCTACCGCGGACCCCCCCTACGGACCTCCTTTGGCCCCCTCGAGTCCGGCCCGTCACCTCCCCATGGCCGACAGAATGTCACAAGCCGTCGATGCGGCGACAACCTTGGCACCGGGCTCCATACCCGTGCCGGCAGACCAGGGTCATCAGCCCCAGGGGGATCTGCACACCCTCCTCACCTCCCTCCTTGTGCCCTTACAGGCACAGGTGGTAACTCTTGTCGCTGGCCTGCGGCAACTCCAGGACGCTGGTCGTACTTCCTCTCCCCACTCTCTCTTTTTCCCTACCTCTCAGTCCGGGTCCCCCGTCCTCCGACATGGTGGCCACGACGGAACTTCCTCCTCCGCAGCCCCCGACTCGGTCATCCTGGTGACCGTCCACGCTCCTAGCACGACGGCCGCCACAGACCAGGCCTTCCCTCACTCTACGGGCGCACCCGCTCAGATTTCGGTCACTACGGTCACGGGACCACAAGTTCACAACCCGCTGCCAAGGTCTCAACTTTTCCGGGTGCCCCGCTTCTCCCTCCCCTTCGCACGACCGCCACGCCACCTGGCTCTCCCCCTTATGGGATGCCTCGCGCCGCTCGTGCGTCTACTTCCCCCACCCCTACTACTCCTCGCTCGATCTATGTCCGTCGTCTTGAGACCGAGATTGCCCAGCTCCGGGCTGACCTCGCCCTCTTACACCTTCAACCACCCCTACCATCACAGCTGACCGCGACTTCGGGCGCACCCCCTTCTTCCTCTACTCTTCCATCCATGTAGGCTCCCTTCCCCCGCCCTGCACCCCCTCCACCCCCATTCTACCTCCTTCCTACTCCCTTGGTTTTTGCGACCTCTTCTACCGCAGCTCCCTCGCAGCCTGCCGTTGCTGCCCTTGCCGCTCCCCTATGCGGTCCGGGCGTACACTCTGTTGCGCCCCCTTCTCCAGGACCCGTGCGGACTTACTTAGTCGTAGCGCAAACCTCTACTCCTCGATCTTCTCGCCGCCAAAACGGTGGTGCACCTCTCGTCTGCTTGAGGGACATTGCCTTGTATGACGGTACAGGGATGCGCGTGTCTCGGTGGCTGCAGTCTGCCACCCGCACGCTCCAGCTCATGGGCGTCCCACCCGCCACGTGGGTGGCTCACCTCTCCACGCGCCTGCGTGGCGGTCCTTTAACGCCTGGGAGGATTTCTACACCCACTCCCTTCGTGAGGGTCGGACCCCGACCTTTATGGATTTTCAGGCGTTCCTCGAGGATCGCTTCGGAGCCCAACATGACGTGACTGACGCCTTCGAGCGTGTCGTCAGTACACACTGGTCCGGCTCTGGTGGCGCTGCCGGCCTGGACCACCACATCCAAGTCTTTCATGACGCCCACCTCATTTGTGATCTGGCGTTCCTCCCCGAGGCTGCCCTCATCGATCGTTTCTTGGCCAGCCTTCCCCTTGAGTACCGCTCCGAGTTATGGCGATATGACTTCACATCGGCCCCGCAAGCTTACGAGGCCGCCAAGGCCCATCAGCGGATGGGGGCCCGTCTTCAACACACTTCCTCCTCCCAGCATCATCCTACTGGTTACGCTCACTCCTTCTCTCACGGCACTTCCCAGCGTCGTTCCCCTTTCGACGGTCGTCCTCGCCGTTCTGCGCAGCAGGGCCGCCACTTCTCGCGCCGCTTCAGCGCGCTCGAGTATGATAAGCAAGACACTTTTGCCCCTCTTTCGCCTGAGGGTGACCGTAGCGACGACCTTGACCTCTACGAGGCCGTTCACTACCACCTGGAAGACTCTACCCTCCCTATAGCCGAGCACCTCCAGCTCGCCCTCTCCACCCTCTCCCGGGTACGCAACCGCTCTGGTCACGCTGGCGCATCCCCCCCGAGGTCCCTCAACAGGACCTTGCTCAGGGCTTTGTCCCTCCTCGCCATGTCCTTTCCGCTGAGGAGCGCGCTGCCATTTTGGGCTGGCATGGGTATTTGCGCTGCCACCAGGACGGTCATACCTCCTCGCGGTGCCCTTACACCGCTGCCCTCGACCTCGACTATGCTAAGCTTTCCGGCCAGCGTCATGCTCAGTCCCCTTCGGGCGCCACGCATCCCTGCGGCGCCTCCTAGCCACGCTGCGGTGTACACCTATGCCCTCCTCAGTAGTCGGCCCCCCGACATCTCCGTCACGGTTTGCCCCTCTTGCTACTGGAGTTGAGGTATCGCAGGACCCGACAGAGTGGACTCAGCCCTCTGTCGCAATACTGTCTGCACCTCCGCAGACCACCGTCTCCCCTCCTACCTCTCTGCGGCTACCGACGCGTCGAGCCATTCGCTCAGCCCGTTGTAGCGAGCAACTTGCGACTCACGAGGACGTTGTGTCCTCCCTTCTGGACTTAAGCATGCTCAAGGCTCGTCAAGAGCGACTCACCCTCCATGTTGTTGCACTGTGTCGCCTTCTTGCTATCCTCTCTGACCCTAATCGCATCCTCTCAATCATTCTGGTACGACTCGGGACCTCCACGAGGGTGTACATAGCGTTATGGGATTCTGGTTCTCAGGGCAACTTCATTCACCCACGTGTGGTGAAGGAAGCACGCTTACCCGCGACAGGGTCACCGACTCCCATCTACGCCCCCCTAGGAGATGACAAGACTCAGCGCTTCTTCGATCAGACAGTCACCGACCTCCCTTTCTTCCTTACTCTAGAGCCGACTGATTGTCCCCCGGCGTCTCGTCGTCACCGCTCCTCTGCACATTTCGACGTGATGGAGACGGGCTACGACTTCATTTTCGGTAATCCGTGGTCTCGTAGGTTTCAAGCACCAAGGCCGATTGGGCAACCAACACTCTCGTTTTCAGAACGAAGTGTGGACAAACGTATCGCGTGCCTTTTATAGGTACCACTGCGACACCATGCCCCAATCCTCCTCCCCCGGAGCCTTCAGTGCCGCACCATCTCCCTCTATCACCGTCACCTGGCCTCGACAATTCGCCCACTTCATCCAACATGACAACGTCACCTTCTTTACAGTGAACGTTACGGATCTCTTGCATTATGATCCACCATGTCCAAACGCCGAGCTCATCTCTCTGGAGCCGGATCCTCCTTCTATCTCCATGGCTCTCATCTCTACTTCCCTCCCTCCGCCGCCCGTCGAGTCCACCCCACCGTCGCTCGTTGACGTTGATGCTGAGGAACTCGCACGCTATACGACCGACCTGGAGCCCGTAGTTCGTGACCTTATTCGAGAGTACCACGACGTTTTCCCATCGTCGTTCTCATACGCCAACATCCCACCGATGCGCGACGTCGAGCATTCCATCCAGCTTGTGCTTGACTATCGTGTTCACCACAAGGCACCCTATAGACTCTCGATCCCCCAGGCCACCGAACTCAAGCGTCAGCTTGAGGACCTCCTGAGACTGGGTTTCATTAAACCCAGCAGCTCCCCGTGGGGTGCACCCGTCCTCTTTGCTCGCAAAGTAGATGAAACTCTCAGTCTCTGCATCGGTTATCACGAGCTCAACCGCTACAGGGTTAAGAACAGCTACCCCATGCCTCATTCTGACGACCGCATAGCAGGCAACCGCTTCTTTACGAAGATTGATCTTCGTAGCGGTTACCATCAGATCCGCGTCGCTGCAGCGGACCAGCCGAAGACAGTGTTCCGATCACGCTTCGGCCACTATGAGTTTACAGTGATGTCATTCGGCCTCACCAACGCACTCGCTACCTTCTAGAGGGCGATGAACGACATCTTCAGGGACATCCTGGAGCAGTACGTTCTCGTCTACCTCAACGATATCCTGATCTACAGTCGTACCCTTGAGGAGCCTCTCAGACATGTCCGCGACGTCCTTGACCGCTTGTGCAGACATGGCTTCTATGCCAAGCTGAGCAAGTGCCGCTTTGCCCAGCACAAAGTGGATTTCTTAGGACACTACGTATCTGTCCAGGGTCTCCACATGGACGACGCGAAGATCACCGTTATTGTCGAGTGGCCCGCCCCATCCACCAAGCAGCTTCGCAGCTTCCTAGGCCTCACTAGCTACTATAGTAATACGCTAGGTATTCCTACGTCCTTACCTCCAGCCCCCTCCGGAAGAACCCGCCATGGGCTTGACACCCCTCCACGAGGACGCCTTTCGCGCCCTCAAGAAGGCGGTGACATGTGCACCGGTTCTTCACCTCCCGATTTTGATCGCCCTTTTATCCTTACCCCCGATGCGTCAGACTTTGTTGTAGGAGCAGTGCTTTCACATATTTTCCCCTCCTCTCCTGATTCCTCTCATCCTCGCATCCCTCGCTTCCAACGTCCTACCCCTACCACTGCTTCCCGCCTTACGCCTACTCGTCCAGCTACTGACGAGCCTTCTATTGACTATTTTCCTACCATCGCCAAGGACGACACTGTCGAGTCTCGCTTAGGTGATTGTCCGATAGCCTTCTACTCCCGTCAGCTCCTTCCTGCCGAGATAAACTACAGAGTTGATGAACGTGAGACTCTCGCAGTAGTTTATGCCACTCACCTCTTGCGTCACTATCTGCACGGGGCACCATTCACGGTGCGCACGGACAACCCCATTGTCCAGGCTTTTCTGACAAAGCCAAAGCTCACTCCTCGACAGGCTTGCTGGTGGCGCGACCTATCCGAGTTTAGTTTCACCACTAACCACATCAAGGGTGAGACCAATCGGGTCGCAGATGCCTTATCCCGGCCCCCTGACCATGATCTTGAGCAGATCCAGCTCGTTGCCATCTTGGTCACCACTGTCCACAACTTGGTGACCGACGAGTTTCGCACTCAGTACCGCCACTGCCCCGACTATCGCAACATCCATGCGACCCTTCGGAGTGGCAAAACCGTCATGAACTACTCTCTCGGGGACAATGGTCTTGCATACTGGCACAGTTCACAGGGCACCAGAGAGCCCCGTATTTGCGTTCCCTCCACTGGACAGGTACGTGTCTGGGAAGTAGTAGAGTTCCATAACCAGGCAAGCACCGTTCATATGGGCTTCCACAAGACGTTGGCTCGTGTGAGCCGCCTGTACGTCTAGCCGAAGCGCAAGGACTTTGTGAAGGACTACGTCGCAGAGTTTCCCACCTGTCAGAAGGTGAACAGTGCGAGCCACCTGCCTTTTGGTTTGCTCAAGCCTCTTCCTATCCCTGTGGATCGTTGGCTATCCATCTAGATGGACTTTATCGGTCCTCTTCGTCCTCCGACCCCCCGCAGTCATGATGCTATCCTGGTCGTCGTCGACCGCTTCACGAAGTGCGCACTCTTTGTTTCGTGCCGCTATGCCATAAGTGTACGTGAGGTCGTCGACATCATGTCTGCCTGAGTCGTGCGTGACCACGGCTTACCTCTGAGCATCATATCCGACCTTGACCCGCGCTTGACTAGCCGATTCTGGTGACGGCTCCACAAGGTATACGATTCCCAGCTCTGCTTCTCCTCGTCTTACCATCCTTAGATTGATGGTCAGACTGAGTTCACGAACAAGACTCTCGGAGATATTCTCCGAAAGATTGTTTGTGACGACCAGCAGTGGGATCTCCATCTTGCCCATGCGGAGATAGCCTATAACCACCCCGTCTCGCCAGCCACGGGGATGTCGCCTTACTATTGCGACCTCGGCTATCACCCTCGTGTTCCCGCGGACTTCCTTCGACCATCACAGATGCACCCCGACACGTGTTGTCCCGCGCTGGATGATTGGGTTGCATACACGACGTCGATCATGAAGACCAGGCATGGGCACAAAACCGCTTTCCAGACTCGCATGGCAGCACATGCGAACCAATCGAGGATGGATCATTCATTCAAAGTCGGTGATGATGTGCTTATCGACACCCGCCACTTACAACTCGAAGCGGACACGCTTTGCAAGTTTCAACGTCGCTTCTTTGGCCCATGCCCACATTCTCTAGACCTTCGGTTCTGATACGGCTTCTAGCCTGGTCAGCTTTCGTGTGATGTTGCCCGACTACCTACGCCAGACTCGTGTGCACGATGTCTACCACGTCTCGTTACAGCGTCCCTACCGCAAACCGTCTGAGCGTTTCGCTGGACGACCATACGAGCGCCCTCCACCCATCATGGTGGACGACCACGAAGAGTTCCTCGTTTCAGACATCATTGGTCGTCGAGTCACCGACGACAACCCTCCTCATGCCGAGTATCTCGTACGTTGGAAGGGTTACCCTGATGAGGAGGCTACTTGGGAGCCCCTCGAGCACTTGCAACACGCTCACATGTTGGTGCGCGCCTATGACCGTGCTCCTCGTGCTGGGTTAACTGCTCCTCCTCAGCCCACTGACCCTCCTCCTTCTCCCTCAGTTGAGGAGACCGCTGAAGTCGAGCCTGCTCCATCTGAGGCAGACCTTCAGCAGCAGCCGGATGCTTCTGAGCGTCCACACTGCACTCGTCGTCGTCCTGCTCGATACGACAATTGACTCTGACTTATCTTCCCACGTATCTGACTTCTCAGTACTCCATCCACTCCAGTTTTGCCACTTCAGCTCGTCGATGTTGCGACTCTTCCTCGACGACATTCCGGACTTCTCATCATGGACGTCATCGCAGCTTCATGGACTTCGTCACGATCAGCTCTGCCTACTTCAGACGTCGTCACTCTCTTACCACCTTACCCTATACAGTAGCCTGGTTGTGTCGCATGATGGTCTCCCTTCGTCGGGTTCCTCTGAGTTGGGCTCTCCCTTGGTATACGCATAGGCATCAGTGCCGTAGCGTTGCCTTGGTTTCCCAGCTTACGGATCCAACGCCGACTTTCCCCACCTTAGGAGTCATTTGCATGATTCCCTTACCCATCACTTTTTCTATCCTCTGTCGGCCCTCATGCCCTAGTTAGGCAGCCTTGCATGCTTCATCTAGGTGCACCCAGTATACCAGGCTCCCTTCTTCCCTTGCATGGTCGACCCTCCAGAGTGGTCACCCCTTTAGTCGAGCATTACCCGCTCTGATAGTCTATCTCTGAGGGTCATTGGTTCTGTTCGCTCCCAGTTTCCTCCCCTCATCGAGCCTGATGACATGTGTCTCCCTGTCATTATGTGTGGATGCCCTTAGGAGTTTATAGACCCCTAGGCTGCATTTGCCACCCTCAGAGACCATCAAACCCTGTGGTTTGTGATACACTTCTCCTGTGACATATGGTTGTCTTGTTGTTGCTTTGTTGCTCTCAGACTGAGGCCACTGCCTCTAATATTTCTAGGATTTAGTTGTTTCTGCTTTTGCTGTTCTTAGGACTTACACTAGCCAGCTGTCTCCAGACTGAGGCTACTGCCTCCAACATTCTAGGATTTAGTTGTCATTACTTTCTCCTTTTCTAGGACATGTACAATAGTTAGTTGCTTTTGCTTTCACTTACTAGGCTGTTAGCTCTGACATTGTTGTTTAGTTTTGAAGTAACATTTCACACGAGCGACGTATTGACAGATAGTGATTGTGCTTTTGTCGGTCAACATAGACGTGATAGGTCTAGGTAAATCTCTCACCTTCATTCCTAGATGCAATTTACAAATTGCCTTCTCTGAGATGTAGGACCGCAGAGATCCTGGATCTAACAAGACACCTACTCATGCACGTGCAATCTCAATGTCTGCGACCATTAACTCACCCTTAGATCTAGCTTTTTTAGCCCATGAACTTCTTAAGGCTATTAGTTCATTATCAAGTTCGTTTAGGGAATCGTCAAGAGAGACAGAACATAAGACGGTTTCAGGGTGTTCTGGACGATGGGCCGAAGAAGAGTAATCCTCTGCCATATGAGTTGAGGAGTTGAAATGGATACTTGGCGCCTTACCTTTATTTGAACCCCTTAACTCAATAGGAGCAGATGCCACTCCTACTAGGTGCTCGCTTTTGGGTTATGAATTAACGGGCACCATGCTATCACGTGCCCCACAGTGCCACACTTAAATCATTGGCAATTATCCACACGTTCCTGCCACTGTTCCTTTCACAGACCCATCTTTTCCCAAGGCTTCCCTAGCGCGATGTCAGGGTGCTTAGGAAACGAGCGTGGCCTCCTCTTCGTCTTCCACTGATTGGTGTCACCCTTGTTGACCACCACAGCAGCAACGTCACCCTTTTCAGACTCGCTGCCGCCATTACCTCCTCCCTCGAACTCGTCGAGGGTCAACTTCTTCATGGTGTCATTATCAAAAACAACAAGCATATGATCCTAATGCTTTTGCCGCCACAAAAACCTTTTGTCATACCCACCTACCGGACCAGACTTCACGACAGAACCATAAGTTTCTTTTACCTGAGTTGTCATGTGCTCCCTTGGAGCGCGAGATCATGGAACTGCCGATAGTTGTACTTACTGGACTTGGCTTCAACCACGAGATGACCTCGGATGGGTTCAGACAGAGCACGTGAGAAGAGATGACCTCGGATGGGTTCAGGCAGAGCACGCGAGAAGATGTAGAGGACTTGATTGTCCTGCAGGTTCAGCCCTAGTACCTACAACAAACGATCAACCTCATGTGACAATGCGTTATTAGAGGTCCAACGCTTTTGGCTTATAGCGGTGAGTTCATCGAAGGCCTTGTTGATCGTAGTCTTGTCCGAGAATCTCTCCTTGATTTTTTGGAAAAATTCACGGAGGGTCAATGTTTTTGCCCACTCCCTTATATCCTCAAGCCGACAACGTTGGCCTCACGCAGTACCCATTCCTTGGATGTCTCACTAAGACAAGATGTCGTGAAAGCCACTTGGCTTTCTGGCTCTACCGGTGCAGTCCCACAATAGGTCTGGATCTCGGTGATCCAAAGCAATAGCTGCTCGCCCTTCTTTCCATTGTAAGTATATATTTATCTATAAGATCTCATTTTGATGTTCTATTACCCACCAAACCAGCTAATCTTAAAGGATGTGTGTGAGATTTTTCTTGCACTGAGGCAACAATCCTATTTGCGGCAAATAGTGCGTCAAATCCATTGTTAGTAATTATTGCAGTAACCCGCACTCTGCAGAGGCCGGGCTGTGTGACCACGCACTGCCCGGCCCAGCCCAGCGTCTGGCCAGTGAGACCCAGCGATGGACTGGGGAAATTCAAAGGTCAAAGTCAACTGTCGGGTCGCAGGTACC